GAAGCTGCAGCATGTGGACGGCGGGCGAGGCCGGCATAGCCTGGGGAGGCGGGGACCTGAGCTCACTCGGCCGCGGACCCCAGCCGGGAGACACTGACACGGGCGGGCGCAGCTACCTCCCACGCCGCCCCAACTCCTAGCGCTGAAGCTGCCCCTTGTTCAGCCCGGAGAAGGTAGCAGCCCGGAAGCCTACATTTTTAATGCTGCTAATTGCAGACGGAGTCAAGCTTCCTCTTCACCCAAGCTGCGGCCCCCAGCTACTCCCTGCAGCCCCACAGTTCCCCCTTCGGACCCCAGATCCCCCCTTCCGACCCCAGGTCCCTCCTGCAGCCATCAGGTCTCCCCTGCAGTCCCCAGGTTGAACCCCTCCAGGCTTCTGCCCAGGGCCACTGTAGGCGCCAAGCTTTCCCCGGGTCTGTCCCCTCCACATGCCCCTGCGCTGGTACTGCGCCTAGTCCCAGCCCTCCAGACTCCCCTCGGACGGCACCAGATGGTCGGAGCTACTGTGGCCGTGGCTGCAGCTCCCCTCAGTGCCGGCCACTGCTTCTGACTCCCCGTTTCACTCACTTGGCGAAGCTGTCTGACTCCTGCCAGAGGCAGCCGGCAGGTTCTTGGTCTGTGTGAAGGCTAGCTGCGCACTCTTGCGATCCAGGCAGCTCTGAGGTCTTCAGGCAGCAGCCGCACTCGATAATAGGTGTGGTCTAGCGGCCAATTACAAGCTCCCGCGCGGTCCCTGGGCACTCAGGAGCTGCGCAGGGCAGCAGACGGTCCTGGGCCAGGCAGGCCCTTCAAGCCCTTTTGCCCTTCGCCTGTCACCTCTGCAAAGATGGCACAAATGGGCCTAACCAGCACACCTGGGGGGCGCCTAAAGCCCCTTGTCCTGCTTGTCTAAACACTCTAGGTGGGCTAACATGCCAACAGAGCACCTTCATCTATGCCATCTGGGGACGGGAACAAACACTGTACAAAAATAATGCAAACCACTGAACATCCACTCTTGACTAAAGCAAACACTGCTGTCTCAAAAGTCCAGGCAAGCGTGAACATGCAAGTGTATGTGAGAACCAAGCCTCCGTGACTGAGAGCCCCAGAGTGCTTGACTCTAATTCACAGTTAGCAGACTCATTATACAGGCACCCTCCCACTGCATCCAACTTCAACTCCACCAAATGTGAGGGAAAAGGGCCCAGCTGGGAAAGCAACACTTTCCCAGAAGTAACAAGGAAGGAAAAGAAAGCACAAACTTTATGAAGCTTCTGAATATTTCACTTGAACTAGATAATAAAGACTATTTTTTGACCTTTGGGAAAAGACAGGCAGTGTGGACAACAACCCTTTTATAAACATCATCATCCAGGAGCAAATGGCTCCTTAATTTAATCAGGATCTCTTATTATCAAATCATTGCGTTGGCTGCAGCCTGGCTGAAAACAGGAGCAGAACATTATCAAGCTGCTCAGGAAGCCAGTAAGTAGTAATTGCTCCCCTAGAGAACTGGTCATCTGAAGGGCGTCCATGTCCTGCCTAGTTACAGGAAAGGATGGCTGACCTACGTACCCTCACTCCTCACCAAAATAACAGATACAGAAGCCAGGCTGTCCAAAGTAGGCCCGATTCTGTTCCGTTTTAGCTCTCACATCCTTCCAAAGCATAGGGATGTGGTCTACACTTGGCAGTCTCTCCTCACCCCCAGTTGGGAGTATTTTACCACAGTGGCGTGACTGAGGCTAAGAAACACAACATGGCATAAGATTCACATGAATCTGTTTACAAACAAGAATCTGAGTTGTATATCATTGCTTTTTCAACTGTTTGACAAAAAGGCGTCCTCTGTTTTCTACAGTATGTTACCACTAAACCAGTCAAGTGAATACACCACATTCTGGAGTAGAATTCACAATGTAAGAAGACAGGTCTATGCAATGTCTGCATTCCCACACCTTCGTCACTTTGTCACAGCCCCTTCTTCCTGTTTCAGACACCTAATTCATTTTAGTATTTTTAAAAAGTACCTCTACTTGAATTCAACTTTACTAAATACAGAATTTCTTCCTGTGACAGGCTAGTCTTGGGAGAGGTCTAAACATTAAACCCCAAACCTCACGCATGCTAAGCACATACTCTACCAATAAGCTACAGCTACAACCCCAACCCCAGCCCCAGCTGGTCTTTAATGTACAACTGAGCACAGGGCACAGACCAGCACATCCTGACTAAACACAGTCAGGGCTCAGTGACAGCATAACCCACACCGAGACCTTCCCGGTTCTCAAGAATTAAATGTCCTGTTTTTAATCTTTTCTCCCCTTAACCATTACCTCTCGCTCCACAATTAAAGCACAGCTAAAATATTTATTTGTTTCTCTGTTGGCTGAGATTCAAAACTGTGTAAGACACAAAACAGTGTCTATGTGGACCTCTTTTCCAAGGGGACTGCTTGTGTAGCAGAACTGTCTGTCTATCCTACCAGACAAAAGTCCAGACATGATGTAAACAATCCACCCTCTCCAGGAATAAATGTAGCATTCACATACCCTTTCTTAGTAAGGCACACTCCTCTGAGACAAAGACACCTTCAAGTATCACATGAAGTTACACAAAGGCATATAACATATAATTATTCGACACTTTCTATTTCCATACAAATGAAGCAACTGATGTTTAAGTCTTTTGCCAAATGTATTTTAGGAGTTAACCTAACTATGAGCAAGTACAGAGCTGCGAGAGAATGCAGACGCATGAGACTACAACTGAGAATCTGTTCACAGGACAAAACCCCAAGAGGAGACTTGCCCAGACTTAAATTGAGTCCCAAGAGCAAAAACATCGAGGGGCAAGGTGGATTCATTTTCTAAAGCAGCTGAGGCTAACAACTGCTGGGGCTCAAAGGTATAAACTAACCTCCCCGGGATAACAAGTATTTGAAAAAGGATTCTCTAAAATAAGAATGACTTTCCATTTGGGAATGGTTTCCCATTTCTAAATACTGAATGTGAAGCCCAAATTAATTCCACGAGAAACTAATCTTTTAAACATTATCTCTGCTGCCCTTCTTTTAACACTAAATAGGGTGTTTTTGTTTGGTTTTATACCAGGGATGAAACTCAGGACCTGGTGCTTGTGAGGCAGGTGAGGTAGCACTGAGCTAAATCTCTGGCCCAGGGTTTTCCTTTTAAAAATGCAGAACTTCTCCCACTCCTAATATGCAAGATAGCCATCAGAATGCCACTAAAGAAAAGATGAGAGAAAAATGGCTGGTGCCTGGCAAGGCTGGGGACCAGCTAATTTTGCTGGGTACCTGGGCAATGGTCCCTTGCCGGGATGAGGAGGGGGGTGCGGAATGCACGTGGACCTCAACATCTCTCTCCAGGAGTGGCAGCTGTGGCTGCTGGACTATGTCAATGAGATCAATCAGGAGTGACTGAGGTCACCGGGCCAGGGACTGAAGCAGAGCAAAATGGGTGCAAGAGGCTTAGTCGCGTGGCCACAGACTGCTTGAGCTCCAGCGCATGTGGCAGCTACCACGGAGACAAAAGCGGCAAGGTGCTGAAGAAGTGAGAGTTCCACTGCTCACGGTGGAACCAGCTGGAAGCTGGGCCCAGGGAGTAATAACGACATCTCTTTGGAGGTAGCTACCACATAGATTCTTGGGGTTAGTTACAAGTACACTAAGAAAGTGTCTTGGCATAGCTGAGCGCTCTGGAAGCTGCTCCCCAACCATTCTGATCATCAGGGCAGAAAGCCCTTGATCGGCGTGGCACCTACACAGATGCAGCTGATCAGAAAGGGCATCAACTTTGTTCCTGGGCAAGAACCTACCTCAAACCACCTGGCCTCTTAAGGAGGAAGCAAAACTTGCCTTAGGGATCAGAAGAGAAGTTAGAGACACAAATATAATGTGCCTTCCTCTTCGGGAACAAGAAATCACTCAGGGACATTAGCTCCAGCCCTCAGCACATAACCACTAGACCACATCCTAGACACGAACATCATCCAGGAAAACAGCCCTGTGAACTAGGGGTTGGACTTTCCACTTTTATTTTTTGTCTTTACCTCCTCAGTCTCTGCTTTCCTATTGTAAGACTTGTCTCCATTTGTGAGGTTCTAAGGATTTTCCATCCCCAAGGTCCTTGCTGTATTCTCAGAGGACTCTAATGAAGATCCTGAGCTTAGAAAACTCAAAACCAATGTCTCTTCTACCCAGGTTGGTCCTTCTCTTCTTCCTCAAGTAATTAAGAACACGAAAGAGAAGCAGGAAGGAGAAAACAGCAGTGTAAGAAACAGACCCCAAAGTGATGTTTTGACTTCAATATTGTTTCTTCTTCCTTCCTTTTAGCAACTTCTTCAAAGCAGTCTGTTCTGCAGTGCACCTGTCGAGTCTTTGCTCACCCTAGAAAGGTTTTTCCATCAGACCTTCTATCCAGCTGGTTCCGTTCATTAGTTTAGTGGTGGCGATGACATACTCGGTACCACCATCGTCCAGCTGGGACAGAAACCGCAGGGCAGCAATTTCAGCAAAGGTTACACCCCCGAGGAAAAATATCAGAGTGACTCGGTTTTCTCCTGGTTGCCCTAAAGTGTAAACATTTCAGAATTTAGAAGTATTACTGGTGCTTGTCTTTCTACCTCAAAATACTTTTTCATTGCTAGCAATAAAAAGGTCAAGTGTGCCTTGGGACACTGAAACTCAAGAACAATGACTTTTGATCTCAGTGCTTTTTCTAACTCTGGAGAGCCTTGGGGCAGAGACTGAAACCCGCTACTCCCAGGGAAGAACTCGGCTCTCCTGCTTACCATACACATTAGCAACTAACAAAAGAGTCGTGTCTGTGACTCCCAAGTCCCTTACACAACTGTGCAGTGCATGGAAACCACACTAACAGCTCGTAATCATCTGTAGATGCCACTTGGGACTCACGTTTCTTCTGCAGCCCTGTGGGCAGTGGCTGACGTTCCTCAAAGTGGGGCCCCGGGAGTATGCGGAGGACTTCCTCAATGCTCCGCCAGCCGGGCCGGGACAGCAGCTGGGCCAGTCGCACACTGAGCGGTGCATAACCACTGTACACGTAGGATATGTCCGTGGGGTTCTGTTCAGTAATTAAAGGAAAAAAGAGCCCCAAAACAATAAAGATTTGGAGCAGCTATAGTCTACTGAGGAGTCCAAAATATGAGATCAGAAGGCAGAAACTCCAACAACCCCCTTGACCAAGTCCTGTTCCAACCAGCCCAAATGGGCTCTGTTCTCAGCAGCTATGGCTTCATTCAAATCTTGAAAAGCCACTCAAAGGAGCTGTCGGTACTGGAGATGAAAAACTACTGGGTTCGGCAAGAAGTTTCTGAGAAGTTACCTTGCCCCTCTAGCTAAAAAATAAGGCATGTAACCTCTGAACCCCACAATTCTACTATCAGGCATTTATCCTGCAAAGGGGTGTGTAGACCACCAGAAAATAAACCAAAGGATAATCATATGAACTTCAACCCTGTAACAGCAAAAGGCTGGAAACAACCTGAATTTCTACTTTAAATCATGAAATAAGGTGTAAACTTAAGACCATTTCAGACACTGGGATACAACTCAGGGGTAGAATGTGTGTGTGCTTAGCATGTGCAAGGCCCTAAGCTCAATTCCCAGCACAGAAAGAAACAAAGACTCCACTCAGTAGCAACTGAAAAGAACTGGAAAAAATGAGGTAGATCAATGAAGGATCTTCAAGATCGCTCATTAAGTGGTGTGGGTGGATTCAGGGGGAGAGACGGCAGAACAGCAAAGAGAGCTGAACTAATATGCAGACAATAACACAGAGAATTAAGGGAATCCATCTTCCTACTGGGAAAAATAATCCAATTGTACTACTAACAGAGAAGAACCGTCTAGCTATAAGCTCTTGTTGCAAAAGGTAACCCAATAAAGACCTTCATGAAAAACCAAAAATGACAGTGAGAAATGAAATTGAGAAACACTTCCATAAACAAATCAATGAGAGAAGTGTTTGCAGAAAGACAGACGGCCATGATGATTACGCGGCATGTGTGGGCTCAGTGAACTCTGCAACTCTGACTGACTGGGGTCCAAGCAGAGAAGCCGTCTCACCTGCTCGTTAACATCATCCACCCAGAGGCGGAGCGTTTTCCGAATCGTTGGACAACTGTTCCTGCCCCCGGTCTGTGGCTTCAGCAGGCCAGCCTTCTCAAGGTTGTGCAAGGTCAGGATGTGCTCGTAGCCGTAGGTCTACAAGACAAGTCACGGGCTTTGTGTCACATCAGGAAAAGGGCTTCAAAAAGGACACTTCTCGCCCATGTCTCACATTCCATAGATGTCTTTCCCATCAGGCAAAGTCTCAAACATTCCTTCAATCCCAGATATAGCAAGGTCCTCTCCACGCTGCCCAGAATAAGAAGAAACCCACAACTTTTGGACAATACTGACCCATTCGCCCCAGTTTTAGTCCTTATTTCCACTTTCAGTTTCTCACACCAGAGAAACATCACAGCAATCAAATACGTGTTAGAATCCACATATATGATGAGATACGGGCTGTTTAACAATGGTATCTTTGAAATATCGTTGGTCCAGCGTCTGGTTATCTACCCAAAGGCCTGCGTTTTAGCTTTTTTAACATCCACTTAATCTGGCAGTCGGAACCCTTTCCCCCAACGAACTCCTACTTTCAGGCTCTGAGAAAATATCCCACAGGCCTGGGCCCCCTTCACTGTCTGCCTTCCTTCTGATCTATGTATATTGCTGTGGTGGCTACACACTGCACAACACAGTAAAAATGTGTTATCCATAGTTTCTATTAAATGTTAAAGAAAACAGTAACAACAGAAAGAAGATAGACAAATAGGAAGTAGGGAGAAGTTCTAATAATTCCCCAAATCATATAGTGCATGGTTTCAGAAATATTTCAACATATATGCTAATTTAATCATCAGTGCCTCTAGGTCCTCTTAGTTCACTGAAAAGAAAGCTTTGTGTTATTTTCTATTTGTTTCTTTTTTGTAATAAGAGTGTTTTCTGTCTATTACTTGTGCTCTAATATTTTGGCCATTCTTTTAGGCTTATGGTACACAGTGTATCAATTATTGTTATTCTTTAATTAATGAGATTTTGGGCCAGGGATTTAGCTCAGCGGTTCGGTGGCCTGCCTTGCAAGCGCAAGGACCCGAGTTCAATCCCTGGTACCAAAAAAAAAAAAGATTGTGCCTTATTTTTTCATAGAAGAGTGTTTTTAAAAAATATTTTCTTGAGCCAGGGATTTAGCTCAGTGGAGCCGCCGCCTGCCTCACAAGCACAAGGTCCCGAGTTCGACCCCTAGTACAAAAAAATTTTTTTCTTAATGAATATCTACTTGTATTACACTGAAATAAAATTATGGGAAAAAAAAAAAGGCACTTCCCACAGATCAATCTGGCTCCTGCTCCAGGGGGTGTAAGCAAGGCCCAGAAAAGACTGAGGATGAGCACAGGGACCGTGGGGGAGGGGGCCGCTGAAAATGTGTGCCCAGCTCGTTATCTCAAAATGGGGTATGAAATATTTAAAGTCAAAATTACTAGGAACAACCTGAGCATCAAATAAAGTCTAATATATTTATGTATGGGATGTAATTATTATTAAAAAAGAATGAGGCAGGTCTATGTAGCCTGATAAATGATCTTTTGGATATACTCTTAAGGATAAAAAGATAATAAAATATTATGAATAGTACGGTTTTTGTTGTTGTTGTTATTTGAGACAGGGTCTCACTATGTAGTACAGGCTGCCCTTGAACTCTTGGCAGTCCTCCTGCCTCAGCCTCCTGAGAGCGGGGATTACAGAAGTACGCCACGGTGCTACCTGGATTATGTAATACTTTACATGAGTTGAGCACAGTTCTGGTGTAAGTACCTCCTATTTAATGAAACCAAAGACAGGTGTTGTTACCATCTAGGGTCACACAGGAACAGCAGAGCTGGGCCCCTAGCCAGTCTCACTCCAAAGCACCTAAGCATTTTCGATACACACTCAAAGTTGAGAGACTAGAAAAAGACAAACCAAATTTTTGGCATGAGTCACATCTGGGGAGGAAAACAGAAGGGATGGGAGATTTACGTATTTTGCTCCCTATGCTTCTGCGTTGTTGGAATATTACGAGAATGCACTCCCCTGCCACACCACAGATCAAACTCAGAACTTTGCATTTGCGAAGCAGGCACAGTGCCACTGAGCTAAATCTCTGGCCCTGAGAATGCATATTATGCATGTAATTTTTAAAAGACTGGCAGCCCTTGGGCCAGGGACTTAGCTCAGTGCTGCCACCACCTGTCTTGCAAGCGCAAGGTCCTGAGTTCGATCCCTGGTACCAAAAAACAAAAACAAAAAAAACCCAAACAAGACAGGCAACCCACCTCCAGGATCCCCACTGTCTCTCAGGACCTATCTCTCCATAAATCTTTCCCCCTTCTCAAAAGAAAAGAAAAGAAAACAAGAGAAGTCCAAACGCAGCCTGGGTATTAGCAACTTAACATTGTCAAAAAGAAAAAAAAAAAAATCTCAATGCAAAGGTCCTAGGTTCAATTCCTGGTACAAAAGACAAATAAAGCAAAATAAATTCATGAGCACTTAATTTTAACAGTAATATATTTCCTACCAGTGAATGAAGAGCAAATACTGCTTGAGACATTTTCAAACAGAGGAAAGAATTTTTAAAATGGCAGTGGGATCTTCCTTATCCTAAAATAACAGAATTAAGTCAACTAAGCAACTTTGTCAGAAGTTTTCAAAAAGTTCTCTTCACTACCTAACCAATTCATTAAGAAACTGAGTGCTAGGCCAAAGGGGCCTCGGTTTTGGTGCTGGCTCTGCCACCTACTAGCTGGGTGACCTTGCGAGAGTTACATCATTAGTCAATGGCTCAGATTTTCATCTATAAAATGAAGATTAGAACAGCTAGCACACAGGTTACTGTGAACATTACCTGCACACAAATAAAGCTCTTCTAATAAATCCTGGCATGCAGTAAATGCTCAATAATCATTCACCACTGTTATTATACACATGTATGATAAACAGTAATAGAACAAGTCCTTTAGGGGCTGAAAAATGTTAAGGCCAGTGGTAATAATATACCAGAACAGTAGCTTTGGGAAATACTTTTTTAAAAAGGCGTTTTCTCTTTTGCGAAACTAAAAAACTTTAAGAATATAGTACCTGGAGAATCTCTCTTTTGTAATAATCCAAAACTTTCTGTTTGAGTCCACTATTGCACACGGACTGGAGGCAAACTAGCCTTAACACTTTGATCAGTGGGTGCTTCTGGGCTATACAGTCCTCGATGTAATTGTTGACCTAGAAACAAAGTATATACACAGATTACCTTCTTCAGTGACTTAAAGCAATTGAGATTTACTCTTACTTTTCCAAGACCAAGAAAGGGAATGTGCAGAAGTGGCTCCCTCTTCTCTCTCACTTCCTAGCCCGTGGGAGGCAGCTGCTGCCTGGGCGCACACCGCCGGGCCACTGCACAGACACACCAGCTACCGGACCCAATTCCAGGGCACCGGCCACAAGGACAGTGCCGGTCACTCCCACCACCTGTGCCGAGATGGCGACCTCTGTGGACGCCCACGGAGAGGCCGCCAAATGCCTGGGGCACCTGTGATCTCACCCACCTCCAGAACAGCAGCAACTTATCTACAGTAGGTAATAGTAATATTTTAATTTTATTTTCGTTTTTTATTTTTTTGTACCAGGAATCGAACTCAGGGCCTCACACTTGTCCGGCAAGCACTGTGCTGCTGAGCTACATCCATGGCCCAGGAATATTTTTAGAAGATGGGGATTTTCATACATTTAATTAAAAAATTTCATAGAGCTGAATATAGTTTTACAGTTAAATATTTTAAAAAATATAAAGAAATATCTCAAAAGCAAGAATCTTAGTTTTGTTCTGTTTTTGGCAGTGCTGGGGATTGAACCTAGGGCCGCATGCATGCTAAGGAGGTGCTCCACCACCGAGCTAAGACTTATACTACAGTGCTTAAAAACCTTGCATTTCAGGGAACAGGTATCATCTCACTGTGTGCTGCAGAAGGGCCACAGATAAAGTAATGTTATGTAACCGTTCTTTGATAACATTCCTATTTTCACGTTTCGCATTTAAATGTTCCTAAAAATACTTAGGGGCAAGGTAGAGAAATCAGAACAGTTGTTTACTTGGCTATCACTACATCTGATAAACTTCCAGCTACTGGTTAGAGTGGTTTTATCGTCTACATACCTTATCAGTGTCTATTCCAGACATAAACTCCTGTTCCACTGTTAATTTATCAAAGAAGTCTTCAGAAGCTAAAAAAGAATCAGCAAATTTGCAACTTAAAAACTCAATAAATGTTAACTTATTTGAAGGCTGTGCTAAAACAAAACGTGCGAAAAAGAAAGCACGCCTGAGTTCAAATCAGCTCCCCAAGAGGAGACTCATTTAAGACACATGGAAAATCCTAAAACTCTGAGCTGCTCAATTACATTTGGGCATGGCTGACTACTGTACTCTCCTGCTGGACTTACGATTTAAATACAGATGATGGAATTTTGCAGGACAAATAACATTGAAAATAAATTTCCCAAGAGCTTTCACTTTGGGCTTTTATTTTGTGGGGCGGGGGAGATGGGGTCTCGCTATGTAGTTCAGGCTGGCCTCAAACTCTCACACATGCAGAAATCCTCCTGCCTCAGCCTCCAGAGTGCTGAGATTACAGGCGTGCGCCACCATCTCAGGTGTTCCTATTGTAATTTTTTTATGACTCTAAGTATACTCATAAAACTGGGTACTGAACAATCTCCTACTCAGTGTTTACATCCTTGTATTTTGATGGACAAAGTTGTGTTTAATATAAATCTGAGTTTTTCCAAAATAATCAAATTTGGCTCTCTGTACCAATTCTGTAGAAAACTTTCGAGGGAAAACCAAAAATAAATATCATGTTTCTCTAATTAAGTAGTCCCTTGCAAGAAGGGAAGAAAAAAACTAGACTAAAAAATTAACTGCCTTATGTTATGATGACAATCTTAGGGGTAAATTTGTTCTTTATATTTCAAAAGTTTTGTCATCTAATTAAATAATCACAAAATGAGTTAACCAGGCTGGGTATGATGGTGCACACGTGTAATCTCAGCACTCAGGAGGCTGAGGCAGGAGGACTGCAGTAAGTCTGAGGCCTGCCTGGGCTATAGAGTGAGTTCAAGGCCAGCCCCAACTACACAGCAAGACCCTGTCTCAAAAAACAAACAAAAAAACGAGTTAACCACAATGGGACATTCTTAGCACGCACACACTGGAGACTGAGAGGCATACAGAAGGTGAAGGCAGCGCTGACTGGGCTGCGGCCTGGCTCAGTGGCAAAGCACAGGCTATGCGTGTGTAAGGCCTTGGGTTCTAGCCCCAGCATGGCTCTCTGGCAAAAAACCAGAGCTGATTTTCTCAGGGAAGCGTCAGCATGCTGGAGGCCAGGGTGTCAGACACTGCGTGTGAGACAGCCCTAGACAGAATCGTGCCCGAGGGTACTTACTGGTCACATCTTTGATCAACTCTGCAATTGAGGTGTGGTTTGCGAGTGAGCCCCGGGCTGCCTGCATGTGGGGCAGCTGGGACACGAACTGCTTGATCTCCCCCACCGTCTTGGCGTTGTGCCTCTCCTGCAAGGGGGAGGTGGCAGCTCATCAAGCAGGGCAGCTAATTCAGGGCATGTTTCATTTGTAATAATGTGAAAGAAAGAATGGGATACACAAAGATCAGGCCAAGTCTAAGTCCAACATCATACCAAAGAACAGAAAAATACAGCATGGCAGGAGTTCGTGGTGCTGCTTCCCATGTTTGTGCTGCTCTAGAATGAAAGCCTCTGATTCTCTTTTTCTATGCAGCAGCTCACAGTGTCCAGGATTCTGTGAGCATCTGACAATTAGTGGGGGATGGTGTTGAAATCACACAGATTTCTGAGTAAAGAAACTAAGATGGCCGGGCGTGTGCCATGCCTGAAATTGTAGCACACAGGATGCTGAGGCAGGAGGATCGCTACAAGTTTAAAGCCAGCCTGAGTGACACAGAGAGTTCAAGGCCAGCCTGAAACCACAAGGCGAGACCCCGTCTCAAAAGCAAAAAACTAAGATGAAAAAATTAGGTCATATGCAGAAGCAACCACAACCAGTAAAAAATTTCCTATGTGGTAGAAACAGATCCAGTCCTGCTGCTGAAGCTCAGTCCTGAGAACAGCCTAGAAACAAAGGGAACCTCACCGAGCCACAGGATATATTTAGAGGCAAACTAGCCTCAACCAGAAGCATCGTCAGAAAACAGAAAAATCGCGAAATGAATATAATTCCTTAGAAAGTAAAAACCTGGAACTACACACCCAGAGAAAGATAAGTTTTCAAAAACCTCTAACTTGCATCCCCAAAGTCTAACCATTCAGAGTTTCTCAGCTTACTAAGCTCCCATGTTTCAAAGAGGAGCTCAACACAAATAAACCAGCGAACAGGCAAGAGGCGGCAGGAGGTGATGCTGAAGGCTCAGCCTCAGAGCTCATTATCACCCAGGCATGCAGGTCCCTGCAGGCCTACCCACGGGCACCTGGAGACTCACCGTGACCTGCAAGCTCCTTACCGAGGAGCTTCTATTCTTACACAGCTGGCTTCTTCTTAAGTGAGGCAGGAACAACACAAAGGAAGAAGATAATGACAGGAATGATGAGGAAAGCTTATTAATCACAAATGCTTTGGTCCCCATGGCCCCTCAAAAAGGAGAAGACTTAACCCTTTCCACCACAGGTCGGGGGAAAAGTTTTTTCTTGCTTTTGAGACCCTATGTAGTTCAGGCTGGCCTTGAACTCAGAGACCCTTCTGCCTCAGCCTCCTGAGTGCTATGATTATAGATGTGTGCCACTGTACCCAGGTATGGGAAAAAAGAAAGAAAACCTTGGGTCCTCCTGAATCTGCAGCTGTTGAGGGTGGGAAGGCTGTGCTGGCACTGAAGCCCTGCCAGAGCCAGACTTGTTCTATTTGGGCTGGACACTCTGAGGCCAGCAAGGCGATAACCAATGTGTGCCTCACCTCAAAGGCTGCAGAGATGATCTTCGCCTTCTTGCTGAGCACGGAGCCCACTGCATTGAAGTTCTTGTCTCGGATCTCGGCGTAGAGCTCCTCTGCGGAATTGAGCTGCAGCTTCTTCGCCTCCGTGGGCAGCTCCTTCCCCCCATCACCCTGCTTCTTCGGCACGAATTTCTCCGGGGGTAACTTCACGTAACCTGCACAGTGGAAGAGCCATGCACCAGTGTGTGATGACTGAAGAACCAAGAATCAAGTGCCCAGGCACAAAAATTAACTTCCATCTCAACAGAAAATGGGAGACGGCTTTAGAAAAAAATGACATACAGCTCTGAGTTTTTAGTTCCCATGATCTAAACACAGGAAGCAGTGACTCTGTATAATGGAAACCATGGTTCTGATTTTCGTTGGAGTAGCAGTGACCTCTTCCTAAGCTTAGGGATCATGTCACCTTTCCTTTCAAATCTAGAGATCTCCCTACTGTCTTCTAGTGTTCTTTTTGAGACAAGGTCTTGGTATGTAGTTCAGCGATTCTCCCGCTTCATCCTCCCCAAGTGCTGGGTTCGCAGGCATGCACCAGCATACCTGGCCCTCCAGTGGCTGTCAAACTGTAGGTCATGTCCATTAGCATACTATGAAATCAAGCTGGTGGGTAGCCAGGAACAGAGACAAAACCATGGCAACAAACAGAATAAAATACTACAGCACAGCACACGAAGTAAAGGAAGACAGTGGTGGTTTTCTGGTTGTTTTGTTTTGTGGTTTTTTTTTTTTTGGTACCAGGGATTAAACTTGGGACCTTGCGCTTGTGAGGCAGGTGGTGGAACCACTGAGCTAAATCCCCGGGTCTGGTTGTTTTGTTTTTAATAAAACTGTTTTAGTTTTATACACACACACACACACACACACACACACACACGCACGCACGCACCCACATGCACACACACATGTGCACATGTGTGTGTGTGTACACGTACTTGATGGTGATTAAATATACTTATTACTGGGGGTTGCAGTCTGAAATAGTTTGAAAGGCAATTCAGAAGGCTGAGCATGACGGCACACGCCTGTAATCCCAGCACTCGGGGAGGATGAGGCAGGAGGATCGCCATGAATTCAAGGCCAACCTGGGCTACATAATGGGTTGAAGGCCAGACTGAACTACATAGTGAAACCCTGTCTCAAAAAACAAAACAAAACACAGAAATGATGGAGTCAATGGCATATGCCTATAATCCCAGCTACAAGGGAGGGCGAGGCAGGAGGGTATCAAGTTAAGAGGCTGGCCTGCGCAACTTAACAAGTTCCTGTCCCAAAGTAAAAATTTTAAAAAGGGCTGGTGATGCAGCTCACTGACAAAGTTACTCTGAGTCTGAGATGCTCTCTCTCAGTAAATAAGTAAAATTTTAAAATATTTTTAGAATAATAAAGTGACCCTTTGGAGGCATCATGTGATCATTTCTCATCTAGTTATTTTTGTTTCTTAGATACTATTCAGTCATTTTACATAGACATACAAATAAAATGTATAATTGAAATAAATTTGGCTATACACTTTTTCATTTTCCACATTTATTAGTCTAATGATTCCATAATATTTTATAAATGTTCTCAACAATCTGGATTACTTAGAAAATTCTGAAAAACAAATGATAAATTTTATACAAACCTCCCTGATCACCATTTTTTGAACAATTCTTCAAGGGAAATCTTTGGATTTTCTTGCAGCTAAGAGTTAAAGTTTTATATACCGCCAAACTGCTTCCAAAGTATTTATATTAATCTACCTTTTAAAATCATCATTAGAAGTTTTGGCTTTCAGTTCAAATAAATCTTAAGTATGCAATATAAAAATGGTATCCTCTACAGAAAAGATATTTTTGTCAAATTATCTTCTAGTAAAAACAGATGTCACTTTACTTACTGTTCTGAATGCCATAAATTTCATCAATGAGTCCTTCATATGTGAGCTGAGTAGCCAGAGGTGTCAATAAATCCACATTTCGATCAAGCAACAAGAGGTTATCAAAAACAGGAAAGATTGAATTCTGGCTTCCTGTAAATTCTCTCTTCATCCTGATCATCATGTTGGCCACTTGCTAGAAACAAAATATTGGATCAGGTGGGGCCTTCCTGGGAGCTAGATTTTGAAATTCAGCTAAAAACAGAAAGACACGTGGATGGAGCTTAGTGGTATCTTAGGACGTGCAACGCCCTAGGCTCAATCCTCAGCACAGCAAAAACAAAACAAAACAAAAACAAAAACACAGACAATCAAAATAAAAAAAAAAGGACCCGGGATGTAGCTCAGGGGTGCTGCGCCTGCCTCACAAGCGCAAAGTCCTGAGTTTGATCCCTGG